TATTTAATGTGTGTGTATGTTATGTTTGGTCACATTTTCAAAGAGCCACTGCAGAGGGACCAAAGAACCACATGTGGCCCAAGAGCCGCCGGTTGCAGAGCCCTGCCCCAGGTGCTGCCAATAAGGTGCCCAGTATAAGAATTTAAAACACACGCTTCCTTACTTTTGTAAGCTTATGTTGTTTTGAAAAACTAGAACAAAAGTAAATGACATGAACCAAGGTTGCATTTTTAAAAATATTTTTTAATAAATATATTCTGCTTTGCATATGAATAGTTTAAACAAAGATCTCATATTATCTGTTAGAATTTGGAGTTTGCTTTGGGGGGTGCATCCAGAGTGATTATCTGTCCAGCAATCCATGAGATCTTTGTCTTTTTAATAAAGATAATGTGAAAGTTTTATACAAAGATCTCACACCAAATATCATATTTTAAAAAGGGATCCATAGCCATTTGTGTGTTTGCTAGTGTTAATTAGCTGTAGTGTCTCTCTTTATTCAGATTGCTTCCAGAAGTTAATCATTCACAGATATGCATTCAATAATTACTTTCTAAAAGTTTAATTAAAATTCATCAACTGGTTGATAAGATATTTTGCTAACAGACAAACACACACACATAAAGACATGAGCAATTGCATGTTGCCTGCTTTTTATAGTGAGAAGCATTAATATTGACTTGAAAGTATTGCTTGAAATAAATGTTAAGTGTTATTTCTGTAATGTGATGGCTTCCTTTGCGCTCATATTAAGTACGCTGCCAGTTAGAAATGACCCAGAGTTCCTTGCCCTCTGGTGTCAGCTCGAAAACTCCCAGGCACCAAACAACAGAGCTAAACTTCAAAGAGCAGAGCAGCTGCAGCCCAGCGCTTGTGAGTCGTGCAACTAAACAATCTAGCCTCCAACAGTGTGGGAGGGTTTTTTATTTTTTATTTTTTTCATTTTTTGATAATCAAAACAAAAGTGAGTGGAGGCAGCAWTCACATATCAAATGTCAAGTATAGAAACAGGCACTCTGAGGCACGGGTGATGATTGGACTGTCCAGTTTTCCCAGGCTAAAGCCATTAACTTGATTGGCTTTGCCCCTGCACGCTATCTGGTTGTGTAAGCAAAATGCAGAGTGCATCAGAGCCACAAGCCAATGAATTCTGGTGCATAAACCGAGGCGCACCGATACTGCGAAGCCCTGCGCTTTATATCACTTAACTACATATACACCAAGAGAACAATGCTTTCATTAAGAAAACTATTATTGAAACAATAAAGAAATGTATATTGTTGTATGTTTGTGTCTTTGACCTGAACCCAAACCTCTAAATTAAAGATTCTAGTTGTAGACTTGTCACATGGAAACATTACAGCAKGTAACGGACCTTGTAACTGAAAAACAAAATCAGGAAAATGTTTTTGCGTCTGACATATTGTTTAGGAACACTTTTTAATCTATTTCATTTCYTGTAAGTTTCTTGATCCGAATGTTGCCTGGTGCAACAATCTGGGTGATGGGGTCACAGCAGAAAGTTCCACTAAGATACGTGTCAAACTCAAGGCCCGTGGGCCAAATRTGGCCCTCCACAGCATTTTATGTGGCCCCTAMGAGCTTCAAAGGTGTACAGGGMCCGCAGMTGGTGTCATTCATTGTTGTTTGYTAAAGTAGGTGTAAAACTTATTTTTTYCCMAARKTTTTYYWA